AACTTTAAAAAAGTGATTTTTTAAAGTGATTTTGGGAAAAGTGATTAATAGTAAAAGTTGGTAGTGTTTGAGAAAAAAGTGATTCTGAAAAAGTAAAAGTTGGTAGTGTTTGGTAAAATAAGTACTTTTTGTGTAATAGAAAAAGTGAGAAGCAGTTTAAAGCACCCTTCTACCTGCTTCCAGCTTTTAGCTTTTAAGTGATTAATTTAAGCAGAAGCTGTCATTTGAAAACACTCTTTTCAACTTTTTTTAAGCCAAAAGCTAAAAAGCACTTTTTTAAAGTAATCCCAAACACTCCTGAAGTGTGAGCAGGTTGTTTTGTAAGAGGGGAAGGGTATGGGGTCGCTGCTCCTAAAGAGTAAAGGCTGCAAGAGAAATGAGTGGAAAGTGCAGCATGAAATAATAGTAGAGCCATGATCTTTTTCTAGATAAAAGTATGTCTAGAAAATAGGTTAGCTATACATATGATGATGGGGATAATCGTACAAATACTACTTTTACGGAATAATTTTATTGAGAATTTATTAGCCAACTTTCTCATCAACCACGTAATTATACTGAGTAAATTCAAGTTCTCCACTAGAAATAATCAATATAAATAATACTACAAATACTTTTTGAAATTACTATATTGCATCATTTTAATTATTTTAATGTAATGTTTTTTCAATTTTATTAACAAAATATATTTTAAATATAATTTTTATACAATTCAGCAAATTCAATCAAAATTTCATAATTTTTATCAGATTTAGTTAATTTAACTAATTCCAATGCTACTAAAAAGGCCCTTGCGACGGAAACAAATTGAATTTATATTTTTCATACTCGTAATATTTAAGGAAAAAAAGTAGTAACAGTATTAGATGGTGTAAACAAAATAGGAAATGTGGTGAAAATGTGTGAAAGAGAATTTGAAAAAGTAGAAAATAAACGTGGTTGCGTAATTTTAAAGGAAAACCTTATTCAAAAGGGGAATCGTCGCAAAATATAATTAAAATACAACCATAAAAAAGTGTAGCAAACAAAAGATTACAAAGGGGTATTTACTTGATCGTTAAGTCATATATATATATATATATATATATATATATATATCATTTTAAATTTTAGTTTAAGCCAAATTTGATAGTAGTTTTTATAATATAATTTTCTGAAAATAACTTTTAAACACTTAAAATATAAGCATTTTTCAGATTTTGGGGCAGACGTAAACTTAGTAAGACCCCTAGCTAACTACGCCTCTACTTGTCAAAGGAGTTACATATTTTACTCAAAAGAACAGTAAATTAAAATTTGATAAATCACTTTTTTTCTTTCATCAATGAGGAGAACTATTTATATTAGAGTTAGGAGATATGATAAGATCTAAGTGTTAACCTACAGTTGATATTAAATATATTACTCCGTAGATATTATCAAGATTTATTAGATAAGAGCATCTCCAATGCTAAAATGTGCATAGTGCACATGTGGCATGAGTGATAGCCACATAAGAGCATCTCCAATGGTAAAATGTGCACGGTGCACACGTGCCATGAGAAATGGCCATATAAATATTAGTAAATAAATTCTTTCTCTCCTTATTTGAACGATTTTACAGAAATTACTCTAAATAGGAGTAAAAACGTTTTGAAATTCCAAAATAGGAGTATCATGTTTTTTATTCCCTGAATAGGAGTAATCTGCCAAGTTTGGGAAAAAATGCCATGTTTAAAGCCTTGTAATTTCCAAACTTGGCAGAAATGTACCCCTATTTAGGGAATAAAAACATGATACTCCTATTTTGGAATTTCAAAACTTTTTTACTCCTATTTAGGGAATTCTCTCATGATTTTATACAGTTTTGGTAAGTTTTTCTCCACACTGTCAAGGAGACCGTCTAGATGTTGACATTGTTGTTGACATTGCAGGGAAAAACTTACCAAAATTGTATAAAATCATTCAAATAAGGAGAGAAATAATTTATTTGCTAATATTTATGTGGCTATCACTCATGCCACATATGCAACGTGGACATTATAGCATTGGAGATGCTCTAAATATTAGCAACTAAATTATCTCTCTCCTTATTTGAATGATTTTATACAATTTTGGTAAGTTTTTCCCTACAATATCAACTCCAATGTCAATATTTAGACGGCTTCCTTGACATTGTGGAGAAAAACTTACTAAATCTGTATAAAATCATTAAAATAAGGAGAGAAAGAATTTATTTACTAATATTTATGTGGTTATCTCTCATGGCACGAGTGCACCGTGCACATTGTAACATTGGAGGTGCTCTACTACGGAGGAACAGGAGTATAGAAATTTTTATGTCTGTTTTCTTAGCAACTTGAAAATGACTCAATGATTATTACTCTGTATTATTTTTTTATTGTTCTCACTATTCAATTATAGAACGGAGTATTTGATTGTGCTTAATGCCAACACTTTTTATTGGGATGAGTTTGGATGATGTGATCTATTTCTTGGAGTGTTACAATGAAAAAAAACACTTATTTTAAAAAACATTACCAACTTTTACTATCTCGGTTTTCGTGCGGTTTTCGTGTAGAATCTACTTTTTACTTTTTCTATTATACAAAAAGCACTTATTTTTACCAAACACTACTAACTTTTACTACTAATCACATTTTCTCAAAAAGTGCTTTTATTTAAGAACAAGTGGTTGCAAACAAAGCCGTAGTCCAAACAATACATGGGATTGATCGTTAGTTTAACTCTTATTATGAAAACTAACTTAATATTTTGGCTAGCTAGGTAATTATAATATTGGTACAATTAAATATTCTATTATATACTACCCCCATCTCATAATTATCTCCTAAAGTACAAGCAGCAATGAGATTAAGATATTGAGTATTATGTGATGTATAGTTGTGCAAATGAGAGAAAAATGTGTAAGAATGTATAACAAATGTTGTGAGTCACAAAATTTTTACCAAGTAGAGAAAGACGGGATAATTTTGAGACAGACGAAAAAGAAAGGTTTGAAAATAATATTTGACGGAAGGAGTATTACATGAAAATACTTTTCATATCAGTTTTTTTTAAAAAATAAAGTATACACGTACCCCACACTGTAATGAAAAAAAAAGTGTTATCCCTAGACACAAATCCTCCCGAATTTCGTGTAGATTTGCACACATGAAAAATTCTTAATGTACATGAGTTGTACACAAAGTATACACAAAACATTTTTAGTTGTCTGTCTACACGGACAATTTATTTGAAAAGGAGCATGATTTGATGCCAAAATTCTCTAATTGCCTGTATACTTAGGCAATATACAATTTGTGTACACATTTTTTTGTACATCAAGAATTGCTCTACACACATCACACGTACTATGAATGTGGTTGGTTTTACTCGTATTTTTTTTTATTTGGGTCCAAATGGTTCCTAAAACAACCCTGGCCCTCTCTGCCAAAGCCCTTTTTTGGCCTTTAAAACCGAGGATTTGGATCCTTAAAACACATTTGTCCTTGGGGTTTTACCATGCATCACGCGTAGTTAATGACTCAACAGATACTTTGTACTTAGAGAGAGGGTGGGGTCGGGGTGGAAGTCTAGTGCTTCTATTAAATCATGATTCCCCTTCATAAGTGTCTGAAAATTTCCTCAGTTTCTTGGTTTATGGGATCTGAATAAGATCTCACTTTTGCTTGATCATGCAAGAAAAAACCTTACTTTTTTGCACTGGCTTTTACTCTGTTGAGGTTGGTGCTGGCGATTAATTCTTCTCTTTGGAATAAGTAAATATACTGATACACACACGGTACATGCACTAATTGAGTTTATAAACAGAACTTTCTATTTGTAGAAAAATGCATAAACATAGAAGGCCGGGAAGCCTTTACTCGGTAAGCTTTGCCTTTATCACGTACGGAGTATTTGTTGTGGGATTCTTCCTGACCAGTCAGCGATGCAGGGGTGTTGCATACGTTTTTGTAAATCATATATGGAGTACATAAATTATAGTCATGTTAATTAGAACTATGGTTGGGCTAGTTCTATTATGTACCAAGTCCATATATGTACTTAAAGTACAAAAAATGAGCGAAAGATTACTAGATGGCTAACTCACGATAACAACACTAGCTATATGACTAATTTGATCACTCAGAAGTCACAATGTTGAATGATTATCACACATAAGCCAAGTATACAATCTTAAACAAACATATGTGAATATGAGATTGTTGTCACTTATTTTTATTTTAACCTCTTAAGACCATACGCGGTAGCATGCAATAATCCGTTTATGGTATCTTTAATTCATTTATTATCCGCCCATCAAGTTGTTCAACCGAGTCTGGTCATATTTGAATATTGATCGAATATTTGTCCCACATTGCTACATTAGTACTATGGACTATTAGGATTTGTTTGTTAATACTAAAATTTTCCCAATTGAATGAATTCGATGAAATTTAGAACGAATTGGCTAAATCTGTTGAATTATTAAAAAAATTATATTTAAAATATTTTTATTTGTAAAATTAAGAAAGAATTACATGAAAATAGCTAAACTAGTCATCTACACTAACTTCAGTTAATTCATCTAGAAAAGTAACTTCAACCTTACTTATTTCGATTGTTATGCAATTGAACGCGTGAACTAAAAAGTTACACTTTGCAAAATAAATTGGCTGATAAACTAGATTGATAAGCTGAAAATAGAGGTTACCAAAGTGGTTCTTCTACTACAATATTCGTCACTCTAAGCCTAAGACATGAGAAACTTGACACAAATTTTAATAAAAGGAGAATTATTTTTGCACTATCACATTAATTTTGAGCCATTATTATTATTATTATTATTATTATTTGATAAAATTGTTCTTTTTGTGGGTGTTGTTATAAAAGAAAAAAGGACAAGACACCTGAAGGCCCTAAGCATCTTAATTGAAAAAATGTAAATTAGATTTTAATCATAGACAAATAAATACTCAATGGAAGTAGGTGTAAGGGAGGAACTTCTTGGAGTCATTATTTTCTGGTTTTTAGTTTGCACTATAAGGAAAGAAAGGAAAACACCCTACATTGTGTTTTGGTTTCACTGCATTAGCTTCTTTTGGCATATGTAGGATAGTTGCTATGATATATAACTCACATATTCTCAACAAACCAAGAAAAACACCATAAATCTTCTTGCAAAGGTTATTTTCCATCATTCCCTCAGAATTGAAGGAAAGTTTAAGGTTTGGTCAATCCCCTGATTCTTGTTATGGCTAAATTGGAGTTTATTATTGAAATTGATCCCACAAACATTTAAGCACAGTCATGATTTTTGTATGATACGGATCTTCCTTCTTATATACTCCTATCTTTGTTACTTTATTGCAGTGTATATACAGAGTGTATGATACAGAATTAAGGTGAAAATCATTTATATTGCTTTGTTTTTTGAACTATGAAAAGGTGAAAATAATTGGAGTAAAGAAGGAATGGTAGACCAGAATGAGATGGCTGGAGACGAACACTATAATAATTGGGTGGCCACAAACTTTGGAAATGGGAATTGGAGCGCCGAAAACCAAGGGATGGACAGAAATGTAATTTCGTTACTCCTTCCTCCGGCGATGCCGGATGTCGCCGGAAGTTCGATTCCGATCAACCATAACAGAGTTGAACAATTTCACGAGAATGATCAGTTTCTTCTTCAAAACCACCGGCCTTCTTTCCCCTCCTACTATTCTCCTTCCTCTGTTTTCAACCCATTCAGCGGGTTGCCGGTCGAAATGATGAGCAGCAGAAAGTGGGATTTCAACCAGAACGCTTCAGGCGGTCGTGATATTCACTATGGCGCTTCCGGCGGCGGCGGAGGTTCGCCGTCAAGATATACTGCGGGAAGTAGCAGCCAGCTGTCCCTTACGCTCACTGCTCCGACCGGTCATTGTCACGAGGAACATGAAGAAGGATCATCGCCGTCGTCAACGACGTATCTCGCGGTGGTCCAAGAGATGCTGTCTGAAATCGCGAAATATTCGGTTCAGAATGTGGATCCTTCGACATTATTATTAAGCTGCCCAGCTGATGATGGCGGCGGCGGCGGATCTTCCCATCCTTTTTGTGGACCCCCCACAGCGATCTCTCCCGCCGACGCTGAATCTAAGCGCAAGCATCTCCTTGCTCTGTTACAAGCGGTACGATTTTTCAACTTGTGTCCTCCATTCATATCTTAATTGAACTGTTCTTCTAATAATGATACATATTCGTTTTAGTATTGTTAAATTTGAATTAATTAGCTGATTTGGAGCGCGCTTGGAGACACTATTTTTTGGCTTACCAAGTCAGTCAATTTTTTCATAAAAACATCATTTTTGATTCCGCGCGTTAAATTATGTAATAATAAGAAATAATAAAGTTATAGTTACTCCGTATTTTTTTGTCTGTTGACTGAAGTTACTATAAAGAAAATCATTTTAGCTATTTTCATATCATTTTTCTTTACTTTTATAATAAGAAATATTTTAAATATAATTTCTTCATAAATCAATAAAATCGGTCAATCCAATCACTTCAGTCAGAAATTTATAAATTTTAGCAATATGAGCCGATTTTGGTGTGACCAAAGAGGCACTCAATTGCAATCCATGATACTCTCAATAGTTATTTAAAATTATTTCAAATTGTGTGATTTATGTATCATTTCTTATCTATTTGAATCAAATGGATATTGCAATTGAATAGTTTAAATATAAATACGTGATTAAATGATGATTTGAATCAAACAAATGCATTATAGATATAATACTCATTTTTTAAATGTGTCTCCTAGAAATTAAGAAAAAAATATAATAAAAATTGTACTCAGTAAAAACGTACTCCGTAACACTTATTTTGGTAAATCCACAAAGGAAGTAAGCATGAAATTTGGAGGGGAAATCCAGTAAAAACATTTTAAGCAGTTTTTATTGGTTAAGTTGATCACTAATTAATGTGGACAACCCAAAATTGTACTCCGTACTACAGAAGCCACCTGATAAGTGTTCGGAAATTGGAATGATTAAAATACCAAGAGTACATGTACCAAAAGTAGAAAATATGATAAATTGGACCCAATCACCAAAATGTTCTGAAAAGCTAAAAACATGCAAGGATAAAAGTTGAAAAATATCTTATGCGTGTTTTGATTTTAGTATTGCTGCGAATATTATTATTATTTTCTTTTTTGGTAAATTAATTATTGTTGCGTTATTAAAGGTTTTTCTAAAATATTAATGGAATTTAAGTTTGTAGTCATTACAATGGAACGTTTTAATACAATTATACACTTACTAAACTTATTAGTGTCACATTTTTGTCCAAGTACAATTATGTATTTGAAATGATTTGTTATATTTAATAGTTATTATTATTATTATTGTGCACGATGCCGGAATATATATGGAGCTGAGGCAGGTAGATGATCGGTACAGCCGGTGCTTGGAGGAGCTACATATGGTGGTTTCAGCATTCCATGCTGCAACTGATCATCCCACTACCGCTACTACTACTACTACTTCACGCCGCCGCCCTCATTTCGCTCTTCAAACCGTCTCTTTCTTGTACAAAAACCTCAGGGAGAGAATCGGGAATTTTATACTCGCCGTGGGAGAACAGTGTGGCAGTTCGAGCAACCACGGCGGCGGCGGTGTGACGGAGGAGGAGCGGTCGCCAGAGGCGTCTCTCATCCAGAAGCAGTGGGCGGTTCAGCAGCTGAGGAAGAAAGAGCAGCAGCACAATCACTTGTGGAGACCCCAAAGAGGACTGCCCGAAAGATCCGTCGCTGTTTTGAGGGCTTGGATGTTTCAAAACTTTCTTCATCCGTAAGCTCTCTCCCAACGTATTTAAACTATATTTAACTTTTTGGTCAATTATGTTGAACGAACTTAGATTACTTACATAAAGAGTATATACTTTTATACGCAGTTCAAAATTATTTATGATATGAAACTATGATCAAAAGTGGTACATAAATCTTTTTTTTTGTTAAAAAAACACTATAACGTAAAAATAAAAAAGAAAAACTACAAAGTACAAAAATTATACGAGTAGTTTTCTGCAAAATATACTGAGTACTACTGTACGTATTGATTGAGAATTATATCCCTCGACGACTATATTAAACTTTGGTTATTAGAGGAATGAAATCTCCTGCCCTTCAATTGATACAATTGGTCCGTATAAATATACAACTATGAATATCCGCAGCCCATATACAGTATAATTACAAATAATATTAATATAACTAAGCCCCAATCGTGCATAACACTCCCTCAAGTTGGAGCATGCAGATCATATATGCCCAACTTGCGAAGAAGATAAAGAAATTGCTGTTTTCCCAAAGCTTTAGTAAAAACATCAACGAGTTGCTCATGAGTGGAAACATGGTGCGCAACAATAAGTCCCTCTTGGATGGCATCACGAACATAGTGACAATCTACCTCGATGTGCTTTGTACGCTCGTGAAACACAGGTTTATGGGCAATATGAAGTGCGGATTTGTTGTCACAGAACAAGGAAATAGAACGAGAATGTGACACACCGAGACTGAGGAGCAGACTTTTGAGCCACTTTAATTCCGCTTTAAGAGTCGCTATGGAACAATACTCTGCCTCGGCCGAGAAGCGGGACACAATATGTTGTTTCTTTATTTTTCAAGAGATTGGAGAATTGCCAAGAAGCACAACCCAACCATTAAGAGAGCGACGAGACCGAGGACAGACAGCTAGCCCAGTCAGAGTCACACCACCCAGACAAAGTTAAATCACAAGAAGAGCTCAAAAGGATACCTTGACCTGGGGTACCCTTCAAGTAGCGGACAACCTGAACCGCGGTGTAACACCCCGGCCCCGCAGGACCCGAGGTAGTTACTCCAGACCTCTCTGGATCACTGTCCTCACAAACCGCCACTAGTCTTCTACGCGCACTTTGTCCTCACTCGTGCGCGCCCTGAGAAACTTCCTAGGGGGTCACCCATCCCAACACTACTCCCGTGCAAGCACGTTTAACTTTGGAGTTCTTGGGTGATGAGCTCCCTTAAAAGAAGATGCAAGACTTGGTAATCCATTTATATTAAATCTCAAGTGCTACAATCACCCCCACTTAGGATCGCAACGTCCTCGTTGCGCCCTTAAACCAATCTCAATCAAACCCCAGAATCTTTTCCCCTGCTAGGTGTCTGCCCGATATCCAACGGATCAGCACACTGTCGCAGGATTGCTCTGATACCACCTGTAACACCCTGGCCCTGCAGGACCCGAGGTAGTTACTTCAGACCTCTCTGGACCACTGTCCTCACAAACCGCCACTAGCCTTCTACGCGCACTTTGTCCTCACTCGTGCGCGCCCTGAGAAACTTCCCAAGGCGTCACCCATCCCAAGACTACTCCCGTGCAAGCACGCTTAACTTTGGAGTTCCTGGGTGATGAGCTCCCTTAAAAGGAGATGCAACTTGTTGGTATGAGTAGTACTATTAATCCATTTATATTAAATCTCAAGTGTTACACGCGGCATCCCAGTGTAGTTGACATGGAGATTGCATGTACTGAGATAGAATGTGCACTGCATAGGCCAGATCAGGACGTGTGAAAGATAAATAAATCAATTGTCCAACCAGACGTCGATAGGATTCAGGATCAACTAATAACGGGCCAGTAGCTAGAGCCAACATGTGATTTTGTTCAATGGGAAATCCAGCAGGTTTTGCACCTAGCATGCCAGTGTCATAAATAATATCTAGGGAATACTTCCGTTGACATAAAAAAAATACCTTCAGAATTGCGTGCCACCTCAATGCCTAGGAAGTATTTGAGTATGCCCAAGTCTTTCATATGAAAGCATGTACTCAAATATTGTTTAAAAGCCGTCAGGGCGGCAGAGTCATTCCCAGCAATGATCAAATCGTCTACATAAATTAGCACATGCAAATATATATATCTCCACGGTGGGAAATAAACAAAGAATAATCCGAATATGACTGAGAAAAACCATAATGGTGCAAAGAAGCGGCTAATTTTGCAAACCAACAACGGGGAGCCTGCCGCAGCCCATACAAAAATTTCTTCAAACGACACACAACACCGGGCTGAGTGTGATGAAAACTCGGAGGAAGCTTCATGTAGACTTCCTCGTTTAAATCCCCGTGAAGGAACGCATTGTGGACATCCATCTGGTGAATTTCCCAATTTTTAGCGGCCGCCACTGCTAAAAATGCCCGGACCGTAACCATTTTAGCTACTGGAGCAAATGTCTCAGTATAATCGATGCCCTCCTCCTGATGATTGCCAAAGACTACCAATCGTGCCTTGAGACGCTCCACCGTAACATCTGAATGATACTTAATTTTATATACCCATTTACATCCAAGGGCCTTTTTACCTGCAAGTAAAGGTTCTAGGACCCAAGTCTGACTGTCTTCAACTATGTAACTTTACCTTTCTTTAAAATGGCATCACACTCTTCTGTCCCAATCTTAGAAGGGCAAAGATAGTAGTACGTATGAAATAATGAGGGCTAAAGGGTTAAATAGGTTATCGAACTAACTTAAAAAGTGCAATTCACCCCTTATATAGGAGGTTCTGTTCGGCTGTCGCCAATTGGGGCGGTTCTCGGTGGATTTTTTTGATGAATTTGTTTTTAGTATCTTCTTCATTAAGTCTAGTTTACTCATACCAAATTTCATCAAAAAATTCAATTGGAAAGGCAATCAAATGAATTTGTGAAGATAACTGCGCAATTAAACAGCGCAGTACATTTCAGAAAATCATTTGACTGTCTTCCCGATTGAGTTTTTATTTGAAATTTGGTATGGATAAACAAGATTTAATGAAGAAGATGTTCAAAAAAAATTATGAAAAAATTCCACCGGGAACCGGCTCAATTGGCGACGGCTGGATAGGGCCTCCTATATAAGGTGTGAATTGCACTTTTTCAGTTTGTTCAAAAGCCTATTTGAACCGTTAGCCAATAATGAGAGATTGCTTGGGATCCTTTTTTTTTCCCATTGTACTCCCTTCGTTCCATAATTATCTTCCAAATGTCATTTTGCATGTGATTGAATTAAGAAAGTGAGAATTGTATATTTGAGAGTAGTGAAGAAGTACAAGAAATGTCTAAGAGTTTGTTAGAAATGTTGTAAACCATATTTTTTTTGAACCGTGTAAACCATATTTCTTTAAATCATTAAAAGAAAAGAGAAGCTTATTTTGAGACTCGTGAAAAAAGAATGCTCAATTTTGAGTGAAAGCGGGAGTGTTTTATACTACGTTCTTGTGTTCTTACATATTGTCCACGTAATATACTTTTTTCCTAGATACACGTCTGAAATAAAATTGAGCGTATTGTATCATCATTTTACTGAATTTATACTGGTATCGATCTCAACTTCATCTCCAACGTACGTACGTACTCTCTCCGTCCCAATTTGTTTTTCAAAGTCAATATTTTTTAATCAATTAATAATAAAAGTCAACACTTCCTATGAATAACTAATTCAATTTCTAATATTAAAAATTTACATATTCAAAAACTACATTAAAATCTCTTCAAAGTTGTAAACTTCAAATTACAATATAATTAAAAATCGGCATCCTAATGAAGTGAACAAAACGAGGCTGTTTGATTAAGAAAAGTTAAATTTGCAACTCAATTTGAAACGGAGGTAGTATGTAATATCATAATTTGGATGCAATATGAGCATTACCACACGACATATTCTTGATTCGAGCAAACTATAGATACTTAATTGTTTGACAAATTAAAGTTGAGAACAAGATGATGCATGGCAGGACTAATTTGAGCCTTTACTCTAAGAAGATGATTTTTAAATTGAGCCTCTACTCTAAGAAGATGATTTCTTTTCATTAACCCAAGTGAATAATACGGCCAATCAACATGCTTTGATGTTGTGACATATTTTGTACAATCATGTACTCGTTCGTATTATTAAAATTGATGCATATAGGATGACTAATATATTATTACTCCCTCCGTATCACATATATCTTCCCACTTCCAAAGTGAGTGAGATTAAGAATAGTGAAATGGGGTATGAATTATTGAGGGTATGATGGGAAGATGGTGAAATAATGTGATGGAATGAAGGATAAATCCAAAAAAAGTAAGTGTAATAGTGTGTTATTTTTTAAATTATTGAGAGTATGATAGGAAGATTTAGAAATGGGAAGATATAAATGTTACGTCCAAAAAAGGAAAGTGAAAAGATATGAATGTTACAGAGGGAGTATATTCTACTCCTTATATTACTAAGATATATGTTTGGATATGTGTCAGGTACCCAAAGGACACAGAGAAGCACTTGCTTGCGGTAAAGAGTGGACTAACAAGGAGTCAGGTACTTTAACATGCGTGATACTGCATCAAGGATCACTACATTTCCATTTGTTTCATATGAAATCATGCACACTAAACTAAACAAGACTCACATAATAATAAATTAAACATAAAATTCCTTAAATAGGATTAAAACAACCATAATGTTCATAAATGGGATTATAATGTAATATTCTCAAAATACGACCCATTCACCCTATTTTGGAAAGTTTTAATCAATTTACTATTCTTTTAATAAGACTGAATAAGTCTTATTTAAAGAATAAAACATATTTAATCCTATTTTGAAATTTTTGTATGTTTTATTCCTTTATTAAGAAATTTCTATAAGTTAAACATACGCCAAATTTGGTAATACTCCGTACTAAAATACACATATGACATATATAAAAAAAAAAGTGCCCAAATTAGACCATAAAAACCCACACACAATCAAACCACAACAGGCAAGGTGGATCAGAAAAATTGATAAAAGGATTCTAATAAGTCATACAACCATTTCTAATTAAACTATGTGTAGCTAGGTACGTTTTTTGTTTGGTTTGTCATAAATGGCTTGTGTAATAGGCATTATATTGGGTAAAACAGGTGTCGAATTGGTTTATAAATGCAAGAGTTCGTCTGTGGAAACCAATGATCGAGGAAATGTACGCTGAGATGAACCGAAGGACTCTTCACCACACTTTGGAGGAAATCAATAGTAATGCCTATGCCAACCAAATTTGTTAGCTGCCTAACCTAATTATCCACATATAGGCAAGCTAGCTAGGGAAATTCTCCTATGTATAACAATCCAACTTGAGGTACACATTTTCATACACACCTACACACTCATGTTTGTGAAGAGTATTTTTTTGTCTGTATATAGACATAACACATTTTCAAATACGTTATGTCTGTATACAGACAAAAAAATGTTCTTCACAAACATGAATGTGTAGGTGTGTGTATGAAAAATGTGTACCAATAGATTTTTTGTATGGATAATGATCGAAGCTGCATGTACGTACATATTCTATACATATTAGCTAGGTATCATGGATTGAGTGGAAAATATATATAGTTTTAACCTATGTTGCACCGATACTTCATCCCGATGTCGTATCTGTGTATCCGATACGTATCCGTATCCGATACTCACCGATACACGCCCTGTACGTATTGGGCCCGTATCCGTAATTTTATAAAAGTATCGGGCTTAATTTTAAAAATACCGATACTTCCGATACCCGTATCCGTGAACCGATACGTGTATCTGACCCTATAACCCCTCATTTGATACATGCCATGACAAAAATTTAGACGTAGAACATTGATAAAGATGGTTTCGGGAGTATGGAAAATAATGGAATACTATAATTTGTCATTTCATCGCTTGATGAACTTTAATTGAAACAAGACTTAGATGTAAATGCAAATAGAGAACAAAAAAATGTTATTTGAATTTAAATCAAAATGTCAGCACTTTTGTTTTTTTAGCCTAATCTTTGAAATTTTATTATAATGGTTATTTTTTTTTACTATTATTATTTTATTTATGAACCCCTGAATTATATATATATTTGCAAATTATACCCTATATTTTTATTATTTATAAAGATACCCCCGTACCCGTATCCTATATTTTTTGAAATTGCCGTGTCGCGGTATCCGTATTCGCGTATCCACGCATTGGCGTATCCGTATCCGTGCAACATAGGTTTTAACCCCATCAACACTATTACGGAGTATTATTATCAACTTTATTACTCCGTATTACTCCCTCCGTCCCAAAATGGTTGGCCAAATTTCCTTTTTTGGTCGTCCCAAAAAGATTGACTACTTCTATTTAAAGTAAGCAATATGTGGCTAAAATTAATTTTCTCTCTTCTGCACAAATTTCATCCACACAATTTTAACTTTATTTATCCATGTGCAAGTCAACATTGGCCAACCATTTTGGGACGGAGGGAGTATTATTATTATACGGAGTATATATTATTATTGTTGTTGTTGTTGTTGTTGTTGTTGTTGTTATTTATCATTATTATCATTATCATCATCATTATTACATACTCTTGTGTTACGAATGTATATATAGCTATCTATTTGAATTTCCAACTAAACTTCCTAGGATAGTTACTTGAAATGGTTACATAATGTTGGCTCTATTCTTCCAAATTTAACGTGTTGACCGTGTTGCTCCTCAATTCATCTCGTTGACCATCTAGCTCCGCCAATTGACTTGCAAAATAATCACTAAAAAGAACTAAAAATATATTAGTGGTTCGAGACGTGTCAGACGCTGTCCTAAGGAATTATTTCCGGCATACGGAAATTTCCCCCAAGATATAACGAGCCCTTCAATCAGTACAAGACCGGTAACAAAACTAACAAGAAGAAAATTAGTATATGAATCCAGCAATAAAAATGCGTTATCAATTAATTGTATAACAACACCATATGTACCCAGCATGCCAGTAAGATTTTGTTGTTGTTGTTGTTATTGTATTCTAATCTCAAGAATTTTAGTTTATCTCAATCAAGCAGCTATATAAAAAAAAACCACTTCTGTTTGACGGCAGGAGAGCTTAAATAGATAAAATCATAAGAGTAAGCTTTCACCAAAATAATGATATACGGAGTAAAATATTATCAGAATTAAAAGTAATAACTATACTTTAATATTCATACGTTGGTGATGGGAAAGGTTTGGAAAAATTAAACTCCGTGCATGTAATATTAAAAGCTATTTAGTGGAGGTTAATGCATAACGGTTATAAATTTATTAGAAGGTTAAAATACTAATGTTCATAAAATATACTTTCAAGAATAACATTTTCATAAATGTATGAAGTCTAATTATATTTATTTGAAATACATTAAAATTTCCAACAATCCCCCACATATTTCAAATAAATAATTTTTAAGTATTTAAAATAGCAATTCCTTACTGGGTTCATATATGGGGTGAGGTTTTTCAATCTGGTGTCGCGTAGCCTTGAACCAGACCTAGACGCCTAAGTGTTTATATACCGAGTTTATTGGTGAAACGTACAGTTTCTATGAACCAATAATCTACTTTGGTAAGTCAGTGTTTTAGGGGATCATTTTTCACCACCACATTTCTCGTCGTTAGCGCTGTTCTGCGCCTCTAGGCCATGCGCGTGTTTGGTTTTCTTGAGTGCTCCAGAAGCGTTGTCAATGCTTCATGGAGGCGGCCCCACCTCTCACTCAAATAGGTGACCTCATCAAGTGTGTCCCGCACTTAACACACCACCTATAAGAGCTATGACTATCATTAAAAACTTTAGCTCAACCTCACAAAGAAATGCAGTCTAGCTTTCCACATCATAGAAATGGACATTTTACAAGGCTAGCAAAACAAATAGAAGACTTATTATTGCCCATTTGAACTTGCTTCATGGGATGTCCAATCATACAAGTTGGGTTCACATCCCTATTTGTTGTCAAAGTGACATTAGTCCATTTCCTCATGTTTAAATTTATCATTTAACGTCCTAGGGATTCTATCAAAAGGAGTAGCTAATTCCTTTTAACTTCACAAAATTAACGGAATAATTTCATTCTCAAACATCATTGCACCACTTTTAAGGGTGAATGAATATCCACTATTTTATCTCATGCGAGTCGACTCAGATGACAACTCCGTCATGAGATCATTTTTTTGGTATCATGCCTGTCCCAAGCCAGAATAAAGGAGGAAGGTGTTGTAGTTGGCGCATGACAGCCAACAGTATTATTTAGTCACATCACATGACATGAATCGAAATATGAATATCGCTACAGCTGGGTCGTCGCCCGTAAGCGACGCGTCATCCCTCCGCCTGGGGGTGGTGTCAAATATGCAAGGCTTGGGTGTGGTGATAAGAATTCTAAGGCTGCTAGGTCGTCACCCGAAAGCGACGCGCCACTCCAATGTTCAGGGATGGTGTCAAATATGCAAGTGCACGGTGGGAGTCGATGTGGCGTGAAGAAGAAAAGGCATGGTGATAGATTGCGTTTTGGGACATGGAATGTTGGTTCTCTTATGGGAAGATCATCTGAGATAGCTGAGGTTATGAAAAGGAAGAATGTCAGCATAATGTGCATGCAAGAAACTAAGTGGGTTGGAGAAAAGGCACATGAGATTAATTCCGGAGATTTTAAGTTGTGGTAAGTCTTCGGGGAGAGAAAGGAACAGAAATGGAGTAGGCATTATGGTAGCACAGGATTATGTTGAGGGTGTGGTGGAAGTCTTCAGGAAGAATGACCACATCATGACCATTAAGTTGATAATAGGAGATGAGATCGGGTCAGTGGTAATTGCCTATGCACCACAAGTGGGAATGGATGTATTTATCACTCAACAATTTTGGGAGGATCTTGAGGAGGTGGTGCGACGAGTGCCAAGGGGAGAGAAACTGGTCATATGAGGCGACCTCAACGGGCATGTGGGTCCGAGTCGTGATGGTTTTGAGAGTATACATGGAGGACATGGTTTTCACTAGAAATGAAGCGGGGAAGAACATTTTGGATTTTGCCTCAACATATGAGTTGGTTGTGATGAACACTTTGTTCAAGAAAAGAGACTCACCGTGTGACCTATATAAGTGGAGCTAATAGTACCCAAATTGACTACTTTTTAGTACAGACGACTTGGAGAACTAGCTACACTGATTGTAAGGTTATCCTAGGTGAGAGTGCTGTCACTCAACATAGGATGCTTGTGCTTGATTTTCAAGGTAAAAAGAGAAGGAGAGTTAATTTACAAGGGGAGCCAAAGATAAAGTGGTGGACGCTAGAGAGGAATCTCCAACAAACGTTTACACAGAAAATGTTGGGGGAAGATGTATGGTCCATTGATAATGGCGCACATATGGATGATGTGTGATTATCAATGAAGACCACCTTTAACAAAGTGGCGAAAGAGATACTTGGAGAATCTAAAGGATGTCTGCCACCAAAAAAGGACATATCTTGGTGGAATGATGAGGTGAAACAAGCAATAAGGATCAAAAGGGAATGCTATAAGAAATTGAGCAAAAGTTGGAGCGACGAGAACATAGAGGAGTACAAGGAGGCTAGAAGAAGAGCAAAGAAAGCTGTAAAAGAAGCAAGAGGAAAAGTGAACAAGGAATTGTATGCAAATTAAAATTTGATTCTAAGGAAGGAGAAAAAGATATTTACAGACTTGCTCATCTTCGTGACCAAAGGACTCAAGATATAGGAAAAGTTAAGTGTGTGAAGGATATCGATCAAAGGGTACTAATGGATGACAGACAAATAAAAGAAAGGTGGAGGTCATACTTTGATGAGAGCTGCTTGGGGCACCCCAATTTGTACCCCAAAATGTACACTGTCTGTGTACACAGGCATTTGGGCAGAAAGTTCTGCCTATTTCAAACAAACTGCCTGTGTACACAAGCAATTCAAGGGGGTGGGTACAAATTGGGGTACAATTTGGGGTACCTATAGAATTTTTGTACTTTGATACACTATTCAACGGGGACGTACAAAGCTGTCCAAACAACGGAAGTTAAGGAGGCTCTGAGGAAGATGGGGCGGAAGAAAAGAGTGGGTCCAAATGGAATATTGATCGAGGCTTGGAGAAGTTTGGGAGAGAGAGGCGTTGAGTGGTTAACAAGTTTCTTCAATATGATTTGGAGAAACAACAAGATGCCAACGAGTTGGAGGAAGAGTATGTACTTGTATCCCTTATTAAAAAATAAAGGTGATGTACAAGAATGTGCCAACTATCGAGGGATGATGAGCACTTTGTCATGGTGCGTCAAAATAAATTCAATACTAACACTTATACGTAGTATAGGTGAAGTAGAGTTCGTATCCACAGGGAAAAGAATAATTATCTTTTTAAATGAAACAAGTAAATAAAGGGGGGGTTTTGATTGAGTGATTTAATTAAATTAAATACGAAGATGAACGACTTATATGAGATTTAAGTCAAGAATAAAAGGGACTTGGCATTGCTACTTTCCACTTGTTGATATATTTTAGTCGATCATTGTTATATCTATAACTTGTCCCCTCTCGAATACTCAATCGAGGAGTATATCCAATTCATCGAGGGTAGTTATTAAC